TGACAATAGGCGCATGAATAATTTATTATGCAATTGTCTTCGTTTCCAACTTTGTTCCCCTGAGTGCGAGCCCATATATTTATTGCATCCTGGTGCTCGCCAGATAGTTCTATCGATTTCAGTGTCTATCGCGAGGACGTCGATAAAAAATTTGAAGTTTAACATGAACGAACTCAGGATTATCACTTACATATGTATCTCGCACATACTTTAAACTTTCATAGATATTATACTTTTGACTGCTTCTTTGCTTATCTCTAAAGTATTGATCGAAGAAGAAGTGTTATTCTTTTAGCTAGTAAACTCTGTAAAGAATACATATTATGAAACATGCAAAGTTCAGTTTTCAAGATATACAAATAATCAAGATATTGCCGTCAAGATGTTCTTTTAATAATTAATAACGAAATTTTGGCAAACAATGGTTTATTCTTTGAGGAACTTGAACTTTACATTATTACGCCATAATTTATTCTCTGATTATAAAATGTTACGTTACTTCTTCTAGAAATTATTTATGAGATCTGTGTTTTGCCCATCTGGCTTAGAAGAATATCGCCCTTTTTTATAACAAAACAATATACGATACTTCTAACGTATCTTCGCAGAGAATTTTATCTTTTTTAATACTCAATTTAGATTTACTTTCTCTCTTATTACACATATTATCCTCATTCCAATTCTCGGGGCGATTAATTTCAATTCCTGATACGTTTCACGTGTTCGTTTATAGATGAGGACGTCACTTGCACCCCCCCCCCCCCCCAGAGACTTTTGGCAGTCCTGCGCGGAATTGCACTGGGCGCTCCTGAAAATCCTTAAAAGCCATAGTTGCCAAGTTTTAAAATATAACGCCGGGCTAGGAGACGCGTTGTCCTCCCCTTCGTAAGGTACGTCGTCGCAGCTACCATCACCATTTACCCGTTGGTAAGTTTCCAAACTTGAAAGTTTCGCGAATTGCGCATGTACTTGGGACGTATCCGAGTACCTCGCGGAGTTCGTATGCATCCGTTACATGTGGGGAGGGGGAAGGGAGGTATGCATCGCTAACCCTCCATCCTCTCTTCGGCGTGACGCGTTCCGCATCGTGTTCGCCAACTCGCGCGATCGCGTTTCCTCGTCGAGGAAGAACCCCTTACGTCATTACGAAAAAGAGCAAGCAGAGTTTCTAATCTGCTAAAATCTGTCCTCCTTTTTCTCCAACTTCACTACGTCTCGCAACTTCGCTACGTCAGGAAGTATGACGAGGTGGGACAAGAGGATGTGATTAATCCTCCTTCTTTCATCCTCGGATAAAAGTAAATAATCCACCTTCGCGAAATAATCGGACATTTAAACAACGACGATATGCTCGCAAAAAAGGTTTTTATTGAGTATAAAGCGTACTCTTTCCTTTTACCCTATCTTTTTACAGAACCGTGATATCTCTGTCGCGCGTGGGAAAATAAATTTTCTAAAAAGAAAATAGATTCTGTTTTGAAACCCCTATGGAAGCTTTATCTAAGCATTTAATTATGAAATTAGTAATAACAAAAATTTTAATTATCTGCATGTATGTATTTACAACATTTTTCCAATTTTAAATATCTTAAATTAATAAGAATTTATCAAGCATTTTATTTGGTTCTCTTCTGAGTCTAATGTAATTGAGAATCCATAAAATATATATTTTAAATAAATAAAATAGATGAATAAGATTCTTATTTGAATTCTATGTATAGAACGAGAAATCGCCCGTTTCTAATTTATATTGCCTATTGTGCCGTAGCAGACAAAAGGTTCAATAATAATGAAAACGCCGTTTGAGCTTTCAACATGCACGTCTGTAAAAATTCAGCCGTAAAAAATTGACGGGCGACTAAATTGCGATGGAGGGCCGTGAATTCCGTAATACGGTTGCGGTATCTATGCATGGCCGGTATTTATATCTTATTTGCGAAGTTTTCGCACTCGTTCCTGTTTGTGAAGAATGTCGCGGTATTTGCTTCGGAAGTAGACCGCGAAGCAATAACATTCGCGATCGCGCGGCGCGACAAAAATTTGCATCGCCTGTTATGCGAAGGAAAGTGGGTCGAGCGACATTGGATATATACGTATAAGGAAAGCGTTGCTTTTTACCATTATGACGTCGGCTTTTGAAATCATCGAACCAGCGTCAACAGTACATCCCTCTGCTGCAGAATAAAATGATTCTGCTACAGTTATTCGAAATGCTTCTGATCGGTAAATACCTTCAAGTGAACATATTTTTATTTTAGGTAGTGAATAAAATATTTAAATAAAAGTAAGAGAGAGAGAGAGAGTAATAAAGGTGTTTAAATAAAATATTACATTTTTTAACGTAATAACATTCTAAAAATTCGTTTGGTAGCAGAAGTGGAAGAACTTAAGTTTTCGTTTCAGATATATCAAATCACGTGAGATAAAATGCGAGATCGATTTTCAAACGAGAGATTCGTGCGTGACATTCGCGAAATAACAATTGAAATCGCAATCAGACTTTGGGACAGTGCAGTGGATTTGCATGAGTGTAGACAGTGTAGTCGTTTTCAGGATATCAAAGCCGCGCCGTGAAATAAAAGAACTACGCAAATATTAGGTTTACGGTCGCCGACCTAAGCCTCGAGATTTATTTCATTTTCATTAGTTTATTATCAGTTTACTTGCGCTAGCAAATTGGATTTAACGCTCATTACGGAGATGGTTCGAGAAGTGTGCGTAGCTACGTCGGTCGCGGATAAGATCGTCGGGATTCGATCCGCGAGCGAGGGACTATCTCGCGGAGGGAATCGCCGAGATCTCTGAGCCAAGTTACCGCCTGGGAACTTCCGTTATACGGAGATAGTCGAGCCGGATTTAATCCCGATATTCAATTCGGGCAATCTGCATGAATCGGGTTACTAGAACTAGCTTTGAGCCGGCAGCTGTCGACTTGTCGATCGAAGATGGTCTTAATGTAACAGAAATCACACGCGAAGATTTACATAAAAACATAAGCTTACAATTAGAGCATAATAGAGTTTTGATAAGCGATAGTGCGTAGCACGAGCACCATGCATAAGCAATAGAATTACACAGAATGCTTCATTAATCGTTGATTTTGATCCATATTAAATTCAAGTAAATCTATGTACAATAGTTTTTTAAATATGAGATCTAGGAAGGTACACGAGAAGTGAAATATTATATATTGTTGTATGAAAAATATTAAAGAGGAATAAAATTATGATGGTATCAGTTTTGAAGGTATCATTAATAATTTTAAAACTATTTTTGAATATTAACTTTCGAAGTTATATTAAAATAACTGTATTTTTGGTGATTATCTTTAAAATTTTAAATAATAATTTTTTACTGAATATGTCAAAGTTTTTAAAAATACTCATGTATTTTTCTTTTTTTTCCTGCCAATGCTGCAATGACATAAATAAAGACATAATACACATGTTACAGCATTGCATCTCGCGTGCATCGGGATCGAGATCGTTTTATACTTTAAGCTCCTGTTCTTATGTAAATCCTTCCGCCATTGTATGTAACGTCAAGCGTTTCTGTTGCATTTGTGTGACTTTTCATGTTGCGAGAATTCCGTTTGGGATCCCCCGGACGAGCTCCTGGTGCGGGATTGAAAATATCGCCGGGAATTTATTCGACCGTTGTTAACTCTCGCGAGTCGTACCAGATGTTCGTACCTATGTACATAACACAGAGTTCTTTCTCTTCACGATGCTCTCGATCTTTCGATACGACGCTGTCCCGGTTTTGATGCGGAAATATACGCCCGACATGCCCGGGTTTCATGCTAGTCCTTTCGACAGTAACGCTTTACTAGTGTGTCATAGCCAAGCGACATCCAACTCTTTTTCGCTCCCGAAGGACTCAACAGAATTCCTCGTGAGAGAGGGACGCTTAGATTTTATTCCGCGCTCGTCGTGTTCGTTCTTTTGTATTCGACGAAGCATCTCGCTCGAACGAATTTTCTTTCTACGGTATTTGTAATTCAGATTGCATTTACTTCTATATTTATTCGAGGTATCACGCATTTATTTGTAATACAATTAATTGTAGAACATTATGTACAACTGCAAGTATATGAGTATAATAAATCTATTTAAAATATATCGCTTCATTACGTTATGTTTCATATAAAAGATGCATTATAGGAATAGTTAAATTCTTTTCCATACGCGTATTTTTATAGCAGACTCGTAACTTTTTTAAAGATGATGGTAGAAAAGTAATATCGCTTTAATTTACTGGATTTTTATAATTTAACTGAAAGTTCACAAAGGCAGGTAATTTCAATCTTCATTTGATACATAATATTACAATATCCAATTGTTTTTGCAATCGTTATCTCAGACCCTTTACCGTGTAACCTACTTCCTTTCTTTCTTTTTTCTCTTTTTTTCCCTGCTTCTTTTAGTTTTACTTGCATCTTTTATTCTCAAAGATGTTCTCTGTTACTCAGTAATCTGAATACTCCGATGCGCCAGAAACAGGTAGAAGCGAAAGATTGCTGGGTCAGTGCTTTGTAATCTCGGGACCTTCTGTAACCTGCATAGAGTCGCGCGAAATATTGGTTTGCTTATCCTACCTCGTTGAATTCAACCCCACGATTCTACCTCCCGAGTGCTGCGTCATAAAAGTCAAATGGCCGCGTAAAGGAGGTGGCTCGTGTCCTGGAGAATTGCCAGAGATATAGCCAATACCGCGAAATTTAATTGTTTGCGAGAAAGAGAGAGAGAGAGGGAGAGAGAGAAACTGTGGATTACGGTACTCTCAAAGTGTAATCCGATTACGACTCAGCCTCCAACCCACATCCCTCCCCCAATTACCGTACTCCAGTCCCTGTAATTGGACCGACGTGTATTGACCGGTGTAATTTCCGTCAACGAGGTGGAATGCATCGTTACTTGATCTCCACTTTCTGAACGACAAGTACCCCGGCTGTGGCCACTCACGACAACTTGTGGTTTAAACTGGATTTTTATTTTCAGGGGAAACACGTCGGTGCAATCCACCGTCCTGTAAATCCACTAGAGTTTACTAGAAACCGGAAGCTCACGGACGAAGTACTAACGTTGATAATGGCCGATTACGAACGCGGCTGCAGAGGGATCGATAGCGGTATTAACTGTCACGGCATTGAGCATCTCTGAGTGGAGGAAGTGCCAAGTAAATGCGAACACGACTGTGCAATTGACTAGGTAATTAGTTACCATTATCATGCGCATTAGATTGCGACAACACGTATTCATTTAAGAAAATTATTAAAATAAATACTATTCGCGTTACTATAAGTGACAGAGATTATAATTCTTCTAATTGTATTTTTTTATACAAATAAAAATAATTCTTTTTATATTACTGGATAGTTAATAATTTTCCAACAACTTCTTATTTAGGACATAATTATCACGTAAAAATTTATACTTATTTCTAATAGAACGTATCGTTTTAAGTTACTTTCATTTCTTACTTTAATTATTACATCATTATATTGACATTGTACACTGATCTGTGTTATGATTGCAGGTTTATAATTGCCTAACAATAAGATGATGTTTACTCCTTGGTAAATGGCAAAGAATTAGTTATGAAACCGATGTATATCTTACGTATATAAGTGCTGCGTTTGTCGAGAACAAGTAACGAGCGATCGAGGAAACGATCACCAAGGGTGCTCCAAACTCGGGAGTGGCTCGTCTTTCTGCGATGCGTCTACGTTTTCCCCGACTTCTCTCGCAGCTGCAGGCTATTGTTCTTTCAATAATGGACGAGCCACTTCGAGATGAGGCGAAGATCCAACAATAATGGCTCCGAGGAAAATGCTATCGATGTACGTGTCGCAGAATGGTACACGTGAGACCACGTAGAGATAATGTTTACGCTGCAGGATGCACGCTATATAAATCGACACGCATTCCGGACACATTTTCATTTCCCGCCATATCGCATATCTCGCCTGTATCTTATATATGTCCCATATCTTTAGATTCTATAAATGTGCATTAAACTATTTCTCGTTTTATTTTTGCGGATCAATATGACGTACGATCGATCAAGCATTAAACCGTTAGAAAATACTATAAAGTTTTGTAGAAAATGCGGCATGTGTTGCACTTGGTTAATAATAAAATATTTAAAAAATAACATTTTCTGCATGAAGAAAACACAAAATTGTTCTATTTTTAATATAATTCTTAATATGTAACATAATTTTTTATTCTGTAATATAATTATTTATTTTAATTTATACAGACTAATAATAATTTGTAAAAATCAAATGCGAAATATGATCTCTAAAGAAGACATTTATCAGTATCATGCTCGTCTTTGTGCTACGTCTATACGATCTAATTATTAGCTTTTAAAGTTAAGAAAAAGATAAAAAACGAAAATTATGTGAACAATACAAACGAGACATATTGTTGGAAATATCGCGCCCTTATAGGAAAATGCATATCGTTTACAGCGGCTCATATTACACAATCTGTGCGCGAGTCCGCCTCTATACAGACTATAAACTGTGTGTTTAGCGGACATATCAATATTGGCGCAAAAATCGTTGATGTAGCGCGCGGGACGGCTTCCATTAGAGCCGATCGTGCCCTCGTATCCCGTCAGGCATGCCGTTTTTCGAGCGATCTACTGCGCGAGAGCACAAAGCAGAGAGGGTCGTCTCGTCACTGTTGTTTCGGTCGGCCGGAATTGCGTGTTGGCAGCACAAATGCGTTACGCTCTATCAACTTTTATCCGACGTGCCACCCGCCACCGCCCGTACCCGTAGCCGTGGGGACCGTTGCGCCGAACCGGAGGTGTTTTGGGCTCGTGCCCGGATTTGCATGATATGGTAATTTTTCTCGATACGAGACAGCAGTGTCACACGAGCGTCCACATGACTCCTCTCTCCATTTCTCTCTCTCTTTCTCTCTTTTCCCCGGTCCATGCAACGTATGGCACATACGCGGTACTGTATCACCCTGGACCCCGGAGGCGCATCTAGACGCGACGAATTTTAGATCGAGAGATAGATCTTCGTGTGCGAGCCGCGAATAATCCCGCACGAGGCGAAATTCAGATGAAGGAAAAGTACGCTGCGATTTGTATCGCTGATGTGTTTTGCATCGCAATTTGCAACGTATAGTTTCTCTTTTGACACGTTAACATGCAATCGTCAATCGTTCTGAAATTCCACTTGTACAAGGAAGCAAGAAATGATCTGTAAATGTTGGCAATTGCGTGAATATCGCTCATATATTGGTTTCTCTCGCGATGTTATTGCGAATTGAAATAAAATGTAAACTGTTATTTATACGCGAATTTCGAACGGTTATATTCACTATATTAATGAGATACAGTGTAATATAGTTTAATATTAGATTTATCAATTCGATAAGAAATATAATTGTAACGTAAATAATTTTAATTAAACCACCAATTGTTCTTAATTGTTTTGAAGATATTAGATTAGTACAAAATAATTTTTATTGATTTCATATCTAAAGTCATATTTTATTTTTCAGATATTAGCATTTTAAAAGTTATTAATGATAAGAAAGATAGAATATATAAGATTCGTTTATTTTTTCTAATTCTTTGATGTAACATTTATTGAACAATAATCTTGCTTGATTACTTATACATATATTAACTTGGCAATATAGTAACATAATTTATTGAAAACGCCATACAGAAAATTTTAAAGTAAATTTATTTATTATTAAATTTAATTTAATTCATAACAAAACTTGTCACAAATTTAAAATGTTTGTTAATGATTTAATTATGATTCTATTTGTTTTCACAAAATATTTTTCTGAAGTAGATTGCAAAATATGTTGTTGTGCACAAAACATCTGTAATGTACGTCCTACATTTATGATTTTATACAACAAATATCTGCTTTTTCGCAACATCGTAATTGACGTTACATATAAAAGTCTCCAACTTTTATTGATCTAGAGTGTCGATGTTACATTAACATAATATCCGTGCTAGTCAGAGAGAACATATATCACGGTTGAGAGAAATAGCACACTGCCGCATTGTAAAGTGGAAAGTTTAGCACGCACAGTATTTCATAATACACAGCGACAATTTGGATATTTCCGAAATGTACTAAATGTACGACACAACGCGTGTAATCATGCTTCGAGTCACTTGGTTATTGTACTACTTGTATCAGTCTTGTAACATTCTTTTCCACATGTCGCTGTGTCTTACATTTTGCGTGTAAGATTAATCTGCCTCGATTTATATATGGAGACAGTTGCGAAACGAGGAGTGATTATTCATAGCGTGCATAGAAGCACATCCGAAAGTAAGTGTCGTCGTGCACTCGCGATGTTAAAAATGAATGAAGAGACGCTAAGCTACCGCGACTTCTTTAACTCTCGCACGGACTGACCCGACACGCGCCTCATCCGCGCTTACCACGCGACTACTTTCCCGTCTCGCCTTGGAAGGCTCAATCTTATGTGCACGGTGGTGAACACGTCTCGTTACACTACCATCAGCTCCGTGTACAGCGAACAAACAGACTTCCCTTGCGTGAGACCTCGTTAATCTTGCGACGGGGTAACAAAGCCGTGCAGGCATCCCGATGTCGTGAGGGGAATGAAAGACTTCTCACCGCGAAAGAGGAGAGAAACGCACGACCCGTATTACGACGTAGGCGTGTGTATAATAAAGTGAAGCAGCCACTTTACGCCGAGTGCACGTAAACCTTTGTACTCTAAATGTCTGTCACGTCATTTCGCTTTGCTATTTTACGTTGCCGCCGCGATTTCGATGGGATTTTGCTGGACTCGGTCATTCTTCAATTTACCGAGTACGCGAAAACACTTTTATCTTGCTTGTCAATAGCGTGATAATATACATGCGAACAAACGTTATACGCAATGGCCGAGTTTTTTTGTGTTTTCCTGATATTGTGATGCGTTTTAAATAAATGGAATGCATATTTTATAAAATTGTAGATTAGCAAATTTTTACACGTTAATTACGCTTGAAATATTAATTATGTAGTTAATTTTGTATCAATACGCGTTTATTTATAATGCAGACTTCATTTTTATTATTTAATGTATATAACCGGCATTCTGACGGCCTAATATATTTTAATTTTCACGTCGTTATAAAATTGATCACTAACCAAAAGCTTATGATTGATTTTGCTGTCAGCTCTACGTAATTTAATTTATTAAATGAATGGCTTGGTAGGGATCAATCATCAACCAGGTGCGAGCATCCCATCGAATTGGAGAATATTCCTCCCACTGTAATTTGAAGGCTTGCGAGCCTGTCAGGCGTCTGTATTTGCGGATCAAGTCTACTCGAAGGGAAACAGTTCAACATTGGGGTCCAAATCACATTTAAATCCCACAGATATAGCGAATTTTCCTTGAATAACGGAAATAATCTCTCGACATGAGATGAAATATACAAAAATATATATCCGTTGAAAAAAAATGTGAAGAAGAAAAGCGCCTAATATATTGATTTTATCTTTTTAATATTTGAATTATAATTTCTCTACCCAGTGCTTCCGATAGTATTTTCCTACCCGCACAACTTTTAATAGTATTCTGCCTACCCATTTTTATCTTTAAATCGATTATCCGTAGATCGCTCGAGTACAATCCACATATTATAAACTTTATACTAATGGGAATCTTAAACCACGTAGATTGAAACGGATTTATTTATAGAGGTATTGTTTTTCTATTTTAGTTTGTAATCATGTGCGATCGTATGTATTTATATGAAAGAATATTTGATATCCATATACTATCTTACATATCTTTTATCAATCTTGGTCAACATATTATTGACCTACCTTACATAACCATTGACGTTTTAGGCCAAATTGGACCCATTTTTCGTCAATCTTGGCAATTTATATTCTGACCATATTCAGCAGATTGTAAGAAAGAAATAAACTTCAATTGCCGGCTGATTGTCAATGCCCGATTGTTATATGTATACGCGTGCAAATTATACATATATTACGAAATATGCATGACTAATTGTAAGAAGTTAAACGAAAATGTTAACTCGAACAAATTAATTTAATTGTTCGAAATTAAATCAAATTAATCAATTAATGAAACAATTATTTCTTTGCGATATATTCAATAATAATTCAATATATTTAATAATAGTACTTTCTCAAATGTTAAATTGTATAAAATTTAATATACAAAAATCTAATTCTGATATGATTTAAACTACGATATTATAAATCTTAATCATATTGCGACAGCAGAAACATTGCGAGCGTACAAAATTATGACACATTTCATATATGCGATATATTACAAATAAATCAAGAAATGCAATGAAATGCATCTAATTGCAAGATGGTAAAATGACTTTTCGTGAATAAAACAAAAAAAATTATATAAAATATATACTTTTATATTTTTATATCTTTTATTCTTTATTTAAAGATTAAACCATTTTTAATATGTTTGATACAAATAATAGTTTTATATTACCAAAACGTATTCACGTCATTTAAATTTTATTAGTATTTTTAAAGTTAAATGACCATTGAGCTTTGTTTTCTCTTTCTGTATATGTACCTGTGCGAGTGTAACCTCAAGCACATTAGCACACTAATTTAAGTTAACAAATAATGAAAGATGAGTCCAAGATTAAATATCTAATACAATTGTTCATATAGGTCATCTATTTTAAGGCAAGGTATTTATAAAAAGAGATTTATATTCATTTTTAAGACAATTACAATAATACCAATACATGAGTATATATTTTATATAATTTTCATAGATTTTTTACGTTATTAATAAAGTTTTTTGTTACTCACCAACTGATGCACAACAGTGGAGTCACCAACCACACAGCTATGACGATTCTATAACATATAAAAACATAATATCCTAATTAAATTAGCGTTCAAAATAATCAATGATACAAAAGATAATGTTTACATATATAGAATTCGTTAATCTTCTTTCAATTAAATATATTATTTATTAAAATAATTATGTTTGTTTAAAATTCTTTATAAC